GTATAAAATGTCCTGCACAAGTTGTGCTTGTGAAGGTGGTCTGAGTTGACCAATCAAAGCAGACTGGGCTTTTTGGAAGGAAGTTTAAAAAAACTAAAAAACTAAAAGAGGGCATTAAGACAGGGTGAAAACAGGTGTTGCAGCAATGTAAATTGTTATTATTATTTACATTAAATCATGTAAACATATTCTAGTAGACTAAACAAAATTATGAACATATAAATGAGCATAATAGGGGCCCTTTAACATTATGATTTTATAATATCATGTCCAGTCAACACCTATGAAGAACTTTGTAACATTTGAAACTAATTTACAGAAAAACACATATGTTGTGCTGAAACGTCTTTGACATATTTTCTTGGCTATATATGCTGTTCACTAATTCTTTCAACCCGTAAAAAATCAACATAGCAGCTGCCAATTTACCAAAGGTTGAATTTACACAACCCTTTTTGCAGGTCATTTACGGGAAATCTGGACTGCCATGAACTACACTGTAAACCCTTGCTGTAGAAAAATGGCAACATTTTAAAAGTAACATACCACTTTTTATTAAAACAGTAATATACTGTAGAAAACAATGCATTCTGGGTAATATTTGTCATTTTCGAGAACGCAGCCTACAGGAATATACTGTGAATTAACAGAGCTCGAAGTGGACACTCAGAAGCTGCGTTCAGAATCACACTCTATACCAGGGGTGCCCAACCCTGCTCCTGGCGATCGATTGTCCTGCAAAGTTCAGCTCCAACCCTAATCAAACACACCTGAGGCAACTAATTAGGGTCTTTAGGATCACTTAAAAATTAAAGGCAGGTGTCTTTGATTAGAATTGGAGCTAAACTTTGCAGGACAGTCGATTGCCAGGAGCAGGGTTGGGCACCCCTAAATTGCCAAATTCTGACAGTAACAAACCATTTTCTATAAAAACAGTAATATACTGTAGAAAACAATGCATTCTGGGTAATATTTGCCATTTTCAAGAAAGCAGCCTACAGGAATATACTGTGAATTAACAGAGCTCGAAGTTGACACTGAGAGGCTTTGTTCAAAATCACACTCTCTCTATATCCTCATTCACTATTCTATACATTAGTTTACTTGACCGAGTGAATGAAAGAAAGCGAGTGAATCCAGACACTGATGAACACCTGATGATAACAAGCAGAATCACTGAATGACAAAGAAACAAGAACAGAAAAAATGAGAAACAAGCAGACACACAAGAACTACAACTGACTTCCAGCTTCAGCTTTAAGACCCTTTCACACTGAGTGTGAAACCAGTTTGGGTTTATTGAAATCTATAACAGTTTTATTGAAAATAATAAAGTTTGTAGTTACCGTTATGGAGGTCAGTGTTTGCTTTAATAGTGTCCTTAAATCATTCTATGTGATGTTTTCTGTGTTCAAAATTATGGCAAAAAAACATAAAACAGATCAGGTGCTTTGGTGATGATTAAGTGTATTAATTGACACTCACAGACATCAACACTCAGCACAAGAATCTCAACAATGGTAACAGAAGTTTCATGCGGCAATGCATGCTGGGTGCCAGCATAAAATGAAACTCTGAGCATGCACTGCAGCATAAATAAATTACGGTTTTGTATGGTTTTACTATTTTCTTTATTTGCATGTATTGTTTTTCTGGTATTTTTGTTGTGACTTTTTATAGCCTGTTTTGAGATATCACTGGCACTTCCGGTGCACTGCTCGGCTGTGCACTGCGTTTCAGCATTTGTTTGCTTTGTCTGTTTTCTTTTGTAGTATGTTTTTCTGTGTTGTAAAGTAATGAGTATATTTTTGACTTCGGTAAAAGCGGAAGAATGATCGTCCGAAAAGTTCTATTTTTGGCTCTGACTTTGAGGATTATTGGTGCCTGTGAAACATGGTCAGAGCCTGCACACGGAACTGAGAGAACCGAGAGAATGGAGTTGAGCAGTCTGAATTCATCACCATCATTACCCTTTCATCGGTACAGCCGAAAGGCTCTATTGGAGATAAATACAAGGATGCCTCGAAGGATGGTTACAAGTTACCTAAAAAACCTGGTGGAAGTAAATATACCAAAGGAGGTGGTCAGACCGAAAAGGAAGAATCGTGGGAGAAGGGGTGGCATAAGGACTTGTCTTCGTCAGAGATTCAACCGGCCGCCGCTACCCTCCATTATCTTCAGCAATTTGCGTTCTTTGAACAACAAAGTGGACACCTTAAAATCGTACATAAGGTACTGTAATGAATACCGTGAAGCTTCCTTATTATGTCTTAAGGAAAGCTGGCTACAACCTACAATGCCTGACACTCTTTTTGAACTTCCTGGCTTCACCTTGCTATGGGCAGACAGGGATAAAGACTCGGGAAAAAGTAGAGGAGGGGGGACATGTGTGTACATAAATGACATGTGGTGCCGTGCGCACTCAGTCAAATGTAAGATCTGTGACCACAATGTAGAAATCCTTGGCATGATTCTAAGACCCTTTTACTTGCCAAGAGAATTCGGATGTGTCCTACTATTTGTCGTCTATGTCCCGCCCAGCGGCAAACCATCACAAGTGGCCAGTCTGATAGCTGACAAGGTACATGAACTGCAACTCTGCTACCCTGAAGCCCCTGTTATTGTGCTTGGAGATTTTAATCGGTGCAATTTGGAACAAGCGCTGCCAGGATTTTAACAATATGTTAAGCTAGGAACAAGAAAAGATAATATTTTGGACAAGTGCTTTGTGAATGTCAAGAATGCCTATGTATCTAAATGTAGACCACCAGTACTGAATGATTCCAGTATACAAAAAGTTAAAAAGAGGAAAATTGGAAAAGAAAGTAATCAGAGTATAGTCAGATGAAAGTAGAGAGAACTTAAGAGCTTGTTTTGATTGTACAAACTGGGAAATTTTCCATGATGGAACATTAGATGAAAGAACTGAAGTAATGAATGACTATATTAACTTTTGTGTGCAACTGGTAATACCCACAAAGAATATTAAAGTATATCCAAACAACAAATCTTATGTCACCAAGGATATTAAGGAAATTATAAATTATAATAGACGGAATGTAGCATTTTCTAAAGAACTGAAAGAGACTGAAAATTAAGTAAGTAAATAATAAGTAAAATGAGGAAAGCTAAAGAAGCTCACAGAAAGTGTTTAGAAGAAGCCTTTAAAACCAAAAACAATAAGAAAGTATGGGATACCATGAAAAAGATGACAGGTTTATCCTCTCCAAACAAATGTATTGTAACAGACAATGAAGTCAGCTTTGCTAATGAACTAAATACATTTTTTACAAGATTTGAACCCACAAGCAACAATGAACCAGTTAACATCGTATTGTCTTCCTTCCAAAAGATAGTGATCGATGTTGCGGAAGTTAGGAAGACATTTCGGTCTGTTAATACTAGAAAAGCTGTTGGTCCGGATGGGTGTGCTCCGAACCTCATTAAGAGCTTTGCTTGTGAGCTAGCTCCAGTGTGGCAACCAATCTTTCAAGCTTCCATTGACTTACATATGGTTCCGACAATATGGAAAACCTCAATCATAAAACCAATATTAAAAACATTTTATCCAAAGGAATGTATGATAATAGACCCATAGCCCTAACTTCAGTAATTAGCAAAAGATTAGAAAGAATGCTACTTAAACACTTGTTTAATAATGTCAAAGGGAAACTTGATCAGTGTCAGTTTGCATATAAACAAGGTAGCAGTACCGAGGATGCAGTGGCTGCCTTAGTGCACATTGTTACTAAACATCTAGACAAATGGAACTCTTATGTTAGAGCATTATTTCTTGACTTTTCATCTGTGTTTGATACTATTCAAGTTAACACCCTTGTGTCTAAACTAATACGGTTAGACGTGAACCCATACTTAATTAAATGGTACCTCTCTTTTCTCACCAATAGAACCCAAAGGGTTAAAGTGAACAATGTCCTGTCAACAGAAGTAAAAACAAATGGGGCCCCCGTGTTTTCACGTTTACGGAGTTCTATGCACTCGCAGATCTTCCCATTATAACAAGAAAAACGGTTTGTCACATAATCCATTTAAAATTTGAAGAAAAGTTTTGTTTGTCCTACGTCCTACGTATACTGTTTCAGGAATGACAAACGAGACTGTAAAAAAAATCACATTTTTGGCAATTTTTTTCATCTTCATGAATAGAAAGTGAATCTTTAAAGTGAATTTTACTACACAACTGTAGAGTTAAAAAATAATATAGGCTTTAAAATATTTTAAGTGTTTTAAAAAATGTACACTATAGACGTCTCCTCACAGCAAGAACAGTGTTGCCAGTATTTTTCCATTAATTTACAGGGAAAGGTTTTAGTGTAGATGTTTTGACCTACAGTAACTAGTACTAATATATTACTGTAAAAATGCCTGATAATGTCTAACAGTGTATTTTAAATCGTTATGAGATCTATATGAATCTCCTGTTTGCTTTACAAAACTAAATTTTACTGACAGCAGCCTTATTTCTAAATTAGACACTGAAAAAATGTGAACTTGATTGCTTGATTCTTAATCTTTATGTTAAATGAATAATATAAAAAAAATAGTCAATGGGAGGAATCCCAATCCCTGTTTACAAAATGTATGAAAATAAAAGCAGTTATTTGTTACTTAAATATTAATTGCTATGGCTAAATTCTACATTGGTGAACTGAAGCATCAACGTATAAAAAATAAATTATATATGTATATGTATATAT